GTGGCCCCAGAAGCCCTTGGATTGAGCTATGGGGCCTGGAGTTCTCCTCGCTTCTCCTGCCTTGGCTCCAAAGCTCTGTGCGTGAGGCCTTCCCTGTGAGACGGGCTGGGCTGGCTGGCTGGCTGAAGCACAGAATTGCCCAGCTAGGTAGGAGGGAAGGAGGGGCCTGCTTGCCTGCTTATGTGCAGCCCCTTTGCCCTGTCCATTCCCTCCTTGCTGGTTCCTTGTCTTCCACCTGATGTCTGGTGCCGATCTCTGCTTCTTTGTGTGTTGCCTGCCTGCTGGGTAGTTTTATATTTCTTTCTTTGGAGTCAAATAGACATTGCCCAGTTGTTATCTGCAGCTTCTCTTGCCAGAAGGTTAAAGTGCTGTAGTGCAGATGTTTCCTCCCCTGTTTCTGTTTCTCAGCTTAGAGAATCTGAAGGAGAAAAAGGCAGCATCCTTTGTGAGTGTTAAAACCCTTTAAAACAAATAAACCTCTGCTGCAGCTGGATCCCCCTGTCCTGACTGACTGGCCTCGAACCCAAATGTTACAGGAGGCCTGCCTTCTTCGCCCCTTGCAAATAGGACTCTTCAAAGAACTATCTCCATGGTTGGCAAGGGGGGGTTTGTGATTGCTTGGGAATGTCTGAACAACCCCCCCCTCTCCAGATTTTCCATAAATGAACAGGGAACTTCCCCCCACCCCCCACCACCAGTTTGAGGAAGGAGTATGGCTGAAAAAGAGCTGCAAAGCTTTGAGTTGTTTTATTTAGGGAGATTTTCAGGTAATAATGCTTTATCTATCATACAAAAATAGAACATCAAAATGATTGAAAGCCTCACAAAATAAAAGTGTTTTCAACTATATTTTCTAATTACAACTAGGAAAAAGTCAAGAGGGACCAGATTTACATTACAGGTAATTAATTATCGGGTCAAATAACATGTGATCCCTAATGGCCAGGGGGAATGGCCTTGTTTCTGCTGCTGAGGGAAGGTGGCCATCCAGGCACCATATCAGCTGTCCTTCCTCGACCACCCTCTTGACATCCCCTCCTTGCCCCCTCCATGGGGTGCCACAAAGCGTGTCAGAATAGGCCCTCTTTGTCTGCCTGGCAGCTCAGTGGCACCATTTCCATCTGCCCTTCCTTTTCAAGCTAGATGTTTGCATCCAAAAAGATCTGGAATCTCATTTGGTCATTTCTAGCTTGAACTAGAAAAGCTGCCTCCAGTTTTCAAAACCTCCGGGAGAGCATTCCAAAACTTTTAATAAGACAGAAAAGGACAAAAAAATTAAATACAATAATAAGAAGAATTTCAATGTAATGTAATACATTTAATAGTGGTTCCCAACCTGTTCTTTACCACAGACCCCAGTGCACCCACTGCCCCGGTGGGGCTCCTGGTTTGGCCACCCTGCTCCCACCGGGCAGGAAGAGAGGACCTGAATGGGCTTTATTTATTTATTTATTTATGAGACTTATATACCGCTTTAAGTGCAAGCACTCTCTAAGCGGTGTACACCAGTAAGCAATGTATATATATATTTACATTGCCCCCAACAACCTGGGCCCTCATTTTACCTACCCCGGAAGGATGGAAGGCTGAGTCAACCTTGAGCCGGTAAGATTTGAACCGCTGACCTGCTGAACACAGTCAGCTAAAGTGGCCTGCAGTACTGCACTCTAACTGCTGCGCCACCTCGGCTTCTCTCTAGGCCACTGAAGAGGAAGCCAACCGCAGCATCTCCTCCTCTTCTGGAGTGGGCCAGGCCTGGTCCACTGCAGTCTGACCCGCCTTAAACCCGGGTGTTTGCCTCTTTTGCAGCTGAACCCCAATCTCAACCTAGTTCAGCTGAAGTGTCCTTGCAGAGGAGGGTCAGGCATGTAACCCAAGCCCCCTGCTGTGATGATGGACTTTATGAGCTGCATTCCAGGGTTCCCTGGAATTTGAAAGCACCCCGGAGCCACCGTGGGGGCGCTGGGGATGCTGCTGCAGGCCCTGCAGTGGCCTTAGCGTCCTTTGGCTGCCCTTCCACGCCTTTGTTCTGCTGGATGTAAGCAAACATTTCTCGCTACCCTCGGTCCCAGATGGGGCTTGCTCTTATATTTAAGACATTTACGCAGATCCTTCTCACACTGTCAAAATAATGTTTAAAAATTAAAAATAAGAAATTAAAAGGGTTCAGGCAATGGCACAAAACATAATGTTGTGTTTCCCAAACAAATGAATAAATCAGAAGGTGTCCCAGACTTCTCAAGTCAATTACTAACTTTGGCCACTGGTGTGTCTGCATTTTAGAGACACCAATAACAGAAACAGATAAGAAGGTAATTAATAGTTAACCACGGCTGGCCCATATACCAGTTTCCCGCTAGCATCACAAGAGTCTTTCCCTTGGCAATCAAGGCTCCCCAAAGGTAAAGCAGCCAGGCCACAAGGGCCGGCTGTTGGCAGGGCCTCCCTGCGTCCCTGGGGGCCCTTTGAGCTCTAGAAGGGCCCCCAGGGAGCAAGAGCTGAGGCCTGTGGTCATTTCTGGTGCCTATGACTCAGCCGCCACTCACACAGACACCCGGTCCATGGAGCTTATGGAAGCAATTCAGCCCCAGGTCTTTTTTAATTTCAAAAGTAGCATTTCATCTGTATTGAAAGAGGCATTTGCAAGAGACTTTGGATACCAGGTTTTGGTTTGAGGCAAGGGCTTTAGAAGATGAGAAAGAAAAGCTTAATAACCTCACATGCCAGATCCAGCTCAAATTCCCGCTTGGCTTCTGCAGGAACCCAGCTGTGTGGTGTGAACTAGGCCACGGCATTAAGCTGCCTTGGGGCTGATTGGTTTGGGCATCGCGTGTCATCCGATGCCAGCAATTGTCACAATTTAATTTGGATTAGAGAATTAAATATGTGACATCTCCAAGGAAAAGGCCTTTACTTCTGCCAGTTGTATCATAAACAGGAAGCTTTCTGGAAAAAAGCTGACAGCCAGCTTGATGAGAGGCCGCCCACGTTCCTTTGTCTGGCATCTGGTGACATGAATCAATAAAAACAGGAAAGGGCCATAAAATGTTAGTGTTAAAGTCAAAAATTCATTGTGTGTTCTTCAGCTGGCCAGGCCCCCAGAAAGCCACGGTGGGCTGTAAAATGCTGCCTGGATGTTCCAGGGAAGGGAGGCTTGAAAACTGATCAAGCTGCCCGACCTAAGGCTGCTTTACTATTGAGAAGCAAAAGTGGTGTTATTGGGTAATAAATTTTGGTCAGACTAAAGTCATATATTATTCAGGATACAGTTAGACTCATCACTTCCTTGAGAAAGGAGTTTCCTTCTGAACCATTTATTGTGTCCCTATAAAAGTTATTAGTGTGACTGTGTGAATGGTGTGCCATGTTAGATTAACTCTCTCATTTTTCCTTCTTCTCCTAGCTTGTTTTAACATGTCAGCAGTGTTTGTGTTTGTAAAAACAATGGGGATTTGTAAAAAGAATGGTATTTAAGACCCCAATAGGCTAGTCTCAGAGTGTGGTATCTGTTCCATCCTCTTTTGCCTCTTCCACCCCCCATCTACCCGCAGTCCAAGTCTTCATGTGGAGCCCAGGAAGAAAAAAAGGGAACCCCCCCAGGAGACCCCAAAGCTGTCCCCTCCTGTTATGCCTTACAGGCTCCCCCTTTTTGTCCTCACACCCATGATGGGTGACTTTAGGAGATTTGGGGGGCTTTCGGGGACCCTGCCATCGCCCCCACAGGCTTGCTCGCTATATGGATTGTTTAGCCATTCAGATGCTTCTCCCTCTAGGTTGGGTGAAATGACATTGACTATGGCCCCTGGTTCTGGGTAAAGATAGGCCCAGCGATTCAAGTGAGAACGTATTTGGTTGAGGAAGAAGATCAGTTCTCTGGGTCCCCATTGAAGGTCGCTTTGAAGGGTGGTGGGAACACAGGCTGCTGCAGACCCCACCCTGGTTGCTGGTCTAGTCTCCGCGCTTGGAGTGCCCCCAGTTGCTGTTGGCCCCACCCGGCCTGCTGATCCAACGGCTGTGGGGCTCTCTGCTGCTGGCCAGCGGGGGCTGGTGGTGCCCCCAGCTGCTGCAAGGCCTCTATTAGTTGATGTAGACTTAGAGACGGCTGATCACTTATCTGTGGAGTTTGCTCAATTTCACCTTGCTGCTGGGCCCAGAGGTCACCATTCAGCCTCCCCCCAAAGCATTCCCTCTGGCCTGCTGTCATCTGGACTGGATAGAGAGGGAGGTAGACTGTTATCCCTTCCAAAGTAAAGTCCTTCTGGCTTGCCCATTCGGTCATCCCCAGAGGACAGGGGCTTTGTGTCCCCTTTGTTCTGTGGCTGCCGCTGATCCCTGTCCTCCCTTTCCAGGGGTAGCAGGCATTTTATTGCCTCATTCCTGAACCTGTCCCTCTAAGCCTCCCTTTGCGCTCTCAAAGGCCCCTGAGAGAATGTGGCATCTTTGAAAGGGACAATAAAGACACCCAGGCTAGAGAGCTGCCCTAGTTTGAAATCTTCCACTTCTCTAGGCAAACTTTGAGAGACCCCAGGTCACCGAGAGAATGAGAATAGAATGAGAATCTCACCGGACAGTAAAAATCTGCACCCAAGGTAGAATTGTATCTATCAGGAAAAATGCAGATTCCTTTTGAGAAGTTACTCGTAGGGGATGACCAGGCTGGGTCCGAGGGGGGGAGGGAAGGGCCAAGTGGGCCATCAGCCATGAGTCCCTTCACGCCCACAAGAGAGCTAAGTCCAGCCCACCTTGAGTTCCGTTGTCTCTTACCTGCCGCCAGTTTGCGTTGACCGTTAGTGGCAGATTCTTGTAGAGAGCGTGAGCTTGCGGTCAACTTTTCTGTTCATTTGAATTGCCCGGATCTCCTGACTTGACATTATTTCAATTAATCAATCGGATTGCAAAGGTAGACTTTACATTTTTTGCCTTCTTTGCGAACCAGAGTTGGGGTTTGGGGGGGAGGGTGACCTCAGTCTCCCTCCCTCCCTCCCTTTTCTACAGAATGAATGTAGAGGGGAGAACTCTCTCCCCATTGCACAACAACAGTAACACTTATGCCAAAAGAGATACATATATGGACATTTATAGAGGTCATTAAATGCCAGGTACAGAATTTGCCTTTAACATGAATTTTGAATTCCCCACCCCCAACCTCCAGCCTTCACGCCTCTGTTTTAACACAGATTACACCCCAATCCTGCCCGAAGGCTTCATTTCTGTATTAACTCTCCTGTCTTTGAATCCTTGATGACTTAGACTTATTGAACAGTATGTTCTTGCTCTCTTTTGGCAACTGTTTTCTTTTTCCTTTAAAAGCTGTCTTCTTTTCCTCTTCAGAATAATTGATTCTTGAATTCAGGTCACTATATTTGCACCTCAATTAGTCAGCTGCAAAATGCAGAGGAAAAAGCTGTTTCCAAGCCTCTCCTCCTCTTTCTCTCCCTCCCCAGCTTGCAGGAGGTCTCAGCCCGAGCCTGGCTGGCTCGGGTGCTGTGCTCTGGGCATGGCATGGCCTGGTCAGCAAGGCTGGCCTGTACGTGGGCGGCTTTGTTCAATCAACTGAAGCAAGGCCAGCATCTGCTGTCCATCGGCTCCTGCCCTCCGTGGGCCTCCACGTTGGGTCTCACTGTCCCAGATTCTTTAGGGGTAGGACGCCAGTCCTCCCCCATGAGGACTATACCACGCTTTCCTCCAATTTATCCACATTGAGGAAGGGTCCAGGCCGCACGCTGCTGCTGTCTTCAAAGGAGGTGCCCTGTGCCAGCCTCCCATGGACTGACTGGCTGCGTTTGGCCCACATGAAGCTCAGACGCTTGGCGTAGCTATAGCAGGCGCTGGAGGAGGTGTCTCCCATGTCCAGGGAGCTGCTGCGCCTGGCTTTGGCCGAGGCCAGGGCCCCCCGGGCAGCCCCTCCCATCCGACGCTCTGCACCCTCAGCTGCTCCCGCCTTGGCCCAGCCCTGCTGGCGCTCCCTGGGGGGTGTCCGCTGGGGCAGCAGGCCATTTGGATGTCCGCCATTGGTCTGTGAGTGCACGTTGCTGACTCTGGGCAGGCTCCCGTGGACACTGCCACAGACTTTGTACTTCACCATCATGACTCCTGTGAAGACCAGCAAGGAAGCCACGATGATGCCTCCCACCGTCACCGTCAGGGCCCCCCCTAGGAAGTGGACGTGCAGCGAATGGCAGTCTGGGTAGGCTTCCTGCGTGGTAAATTGGGCACAGCCCAACAGGTGGGTGGCAGCCAGGGAGGTGGCCAGATCATCAAAGATAGCTAAGATGCACAGGTCATAATCCATGCTCGACACGAGGTGCTTAAGAAGGAAGTCCTGGCTGCTGGCAGGGATGATCCTGCAGGCGAGAAAGACGGAAAGAGTAAGCATCCACAGCCTCCACCCCCTCCCTCCTCTGATGGGGGGGGGGTCCTTCTCTCTAGGGACAGGAACCCCCACCCCCGTTCCTGGACATGGTCTTTCCACCCCATCCCGCCTTCTCTTATGCAAGCAGCTTATCTGCACGTTAATGGCCTGTTATTCTCTTGTGTCCCAGAAAATCTGGATAATCTTGTGGCACAGTTACTGGTGCAGAAGGAAAGAAAAGGTAACCGTAGCTACTGTATAAACAAGAGCTGCTGTCCCACCCTACAGATCACTCAGGCCTTCTTGAGAAGCCAGCAAAGTTTTATCTGATTCTTGAACACTGTCCCTCCCTTGGTTAAAGACCCTGGAGAAATGGGGCTCTCTTTCGCCCCCTCCCCCCTGAGCATTTCATTTGGGACCCTGAGCTGAATCCCTGGAGTTGATGAGGGATGCTGCTGGAACACTGACGCCTCGGCGGAGGATGTGACGCCAGGGAGGGGGACCTGCCTCAGGGGGGTGAGCAAGTGGCCACTTCTTTGCCCAGATCGCATGCCCAGGAGGACCCAGGGGCAGAGGCTGCCTGCCAACCCAAGCTGCCTCTGGGAAGGAGAGGTGGTTGCTTAAGAGCCAGGGCTTGTTTGGGCTGCCGAGTGGCGTGAAACAGATTGAAGTGATCCACATCTTCTGTGATTTTGATTTTTAAGTTAGAAATTCCTACAAAATGGAGCCATTAGGAAAGAAAATCATTTGTGGAAAATCCTTTCTCTTGACTGGGCTATGCTGAAGGATTCCATTCATAGAATGGAGGTTAATCCTCCCACCTGCAAGTTCTGCAGAAGCCCCTGCAGTTGGAAACGTCTGACTCGGCCTCTGCTTGAGTCTCGAGCCTTTGAAGCCTCCCCCACCCCACTGAGGAACTGGGCCCGGCTCTTTACCAAGCGGAGCCAAGCTCTTGGAGGGGTGATTTCGCTCAGGGCCACGTCCCTTTCTGTGGGTGACTCTCTCAAGGGAGCAATGCTCGAGCTTTTGGGGATGCTGCACTCTGTTTGCGTGACCTACTGCATCCCCAATCCCAGATCTCTTCTAGCACAGCCGGTGTCTCACTGGTACATGCTTCAGGTCTTGTGGGAACAGAGGAAAGGGGCGAACTGAGGAAGACAACTCTGTGCCTGTTATGCAGTCCAACATCGTTCACAAAGGGAGAGCCCTCCAGTTGAGTGAGCAACCGAGATGCAATCGGGGAGAGGCCCGTTTGTATCCTGAGAAATCTGAATGGTACTGAAGCAGCCAGGGACCTTCATTGCCAGGACTTCTCCAGGAAGGAGAGCCTGAAATTAAGAGCCCTTTGCCTGTCCATCCGTCGTGGGAGCAGGCTCTGTCCCCACACCGCAGGCCCTTACCTGTAAACAAGCGCATTGTCCGCAGTGCAGTTGTACTGGATCTGATACATCCAGGCCATGTAGGTCGACTTATCTGCCAGCCAGCGCACCAGGGCTGATGTGGCAGTCACCTCCAGCACCTCCACTCTCTTCTCAGAAGCCTCTTGGGTGGCGTTGGCAGAGCTCTTGGCTGAGGTGGCAATGTCGGAGGAGCCTGGATCCTGCTGCAGCACCGTGATGCTGCCGTTCCCTCGATGAGGCAAGGGGATGATTTTGAGGTCCACGGTGGCTGTCGACTCCCCAGCAGCATTGACAGCGATGCAGGTGTAGGCCCCATCATCACGAATGGTGGTCACCAAAAGGTCAAGGGTGCCGTTGCGGAATGAAATGGTCCTGGAGGAGTTGGCAATGATTTTGTCATCAGGGGAGACCCAGTGGATGACTGGCTCGGGGTCTCCGCGGGCTCTGCACCTCAGGGTGGCCCTTTGGCCCTCCAAGATCCATAGCCTGTGGGTGTGCCGAGTGATGAGAGGGGGCTCGCAGGTGAAGTCCTCCTCTGGCACAGACCAGAAATACCGGCCAGCCACGTGTTGGGGAGAAGCACAGGTCTCCATGTCATCCTCTCGCGCCAAACGCCGCAGCCATAGCAACTCACAGTTGCAGTGCAAAGGATTTCCCCCGAAGCTGAGCATGATGGTGGCTGTGTAAGGGGTTGGGCTGATGGCCCCAATCTGGGAGCGGGCAAACAGTGGGTCAGGGGGCAGTGTGGAAAGGCGATTGGAAGTCATGTCCAGCCGTGAGAGTTTGTAGAGTTCATCAAAGCTTCCTTCCATAATGAAGTCAATTAGGTTATGATCCAGGTTCAGGGTGTGCAGGCAAAACATCCCTTGGATGCCCTCCCAAGGGACGCTGCGCAGGTTGTTGTAGGACAAATCCAGGTCTTCCAGAGTCAAGAGAAAGTCATCAAAAGCAGCCCCAGAGATATTGACCAGCTGGTTGTTACTCAGGATGAGATGCTGGAGGTTCAGCATTCCCCGCAGAGCCTCCTCCCTGATCTCTGTCAGCCGATTGCTGTCCAGGTGGAGCGAACGGAGGCTCTCCAGGTCCCCAAACGCAAAGGGCCGGAGGGTGTCGATGGTGTTCCGCGAGAGGGTGAGATCCACGAGGCCCGTCATGTTCAGAAAGTCCGGGGCTTCCACCACCCGGATGAAATTGTCAGCCAGACGCAGCTCCACTGTCCGCCGGTCTATGTTGGGCGGAATGAAGAGAAGCCCTTTGTTGGCACAGAGGGTGCTGAGCGAGTCGGAGAGGTTTTGGCAGACGCAGTGAAAGGGGCAGGACTCCACCTGAGCTAAGGTGCTCCCCACCATCAGAAGCTGGATCAGAAGCAGCCTTTCCATGGTAGTTGCCTTGACAGGCCCTGGAAGAGAGAAAAATAGATCAGTGGGCATGAGGGGCTTTGGTAACTTTTTGTCTTTTTTTGGACCTTTAGATCTTCCCCTCTTTCTCAGGACGTGGTGCACGTTTACTTGAGTTCTCTCCATGCCTAGTCCTCTAGTGTCCCCTCTTACCAACAGGCCATCTCTGAAAATAGCTTGCTCCACCGGCCCGCCGCTTGTGAACTCAGGAAATCCATCTCTTTCTTTGTAATTTTAATCTAGCAGTTCTGGTTGTGCAATAGACAAGTCTATTTCCTCTTCTGTGTGGCTGCTCTTGTGCTGCAGTCATCTATTCTGCAGGCCAAACATGCCCAGATCCTTTAACTGACTCTCCTCAGGCTTAGTAACCCTAACCCCTGAACTCCAGCTTTTCACTGTCCCTCCTGATGCCCAGAATTGGACCACAATGCTCTCCCTGGGGTCTGACCTGGGCAGAGGGACCAAGGGGAGAGGAACAGTTCCTTCCTGGGATCTGGACTCTGTGCACCAATTGAGGCATTGCAAGATTTCCTTTGCCCTTGTGGCAGCTACGTCATGCGGCTGGCTCAGATGCCTGTCCCCCCTTGTCCTGCCAAGCCAGGTTTCCCCACATCTTGTGCCTTTCTTCTGTTAAATTCCATCCTGTTTAAATTCTTCTGTTAAATTCCTTTGAGGCTGCCCAGATCTTTTTGAATCTTCTGTCGTCCAAAATATTAGCCCTCCCTTGCACCTGTGTCATCTATGATAACTCTGTGTTGGCTTCTGTTAATTGAAGTATTTATAAACTATGTATAGTTATAAATGATTTATCAGACATACATTTTTTCATCTTATTCCAACACAGGCTTTGCCACTTTTACTTAAAAATCCTTCACAGTCTATCCCCAGATTAGAAATTTTAGTGCTCTTTTGATCACCCGACTGATACTTCTGTGCCCAATATATACAATTAAGAGCCAGATGAAAATCTGAACAAATTAGCATGAGTGAGAAGAGAAAGGTGGACCACCAAAAGACGTTTGGTGAAGAAGAACCTGATGCTCCTTGAGGCTTCTACGGCATGTTGAGATTCATTGCCGTTCTTGATTTTGATTTTGTTCCTCTCTTCTCCTCGGATTTCTGTTTCTGGGTGGGATGTTAGCGGGGAGCAAATGGGCTCTCAGGATCAGATTTCGCTAACCTGGTTGGCTTGAGCTCCCTGCTTCCATTTGGAGAATCCTCTGGGAATCCACTTGGCAGCTGGACTTCAAGGGGGAAGAGAAGAATCAGCTTCTCAGGCTCAGCATCTCACAAATTGCTCTCTCACCCCCAGGAGTTCTTCTAAAATTTGCTGCCACAGAGATTCTTAATGTGGCTGAAGGGCAAAATGTAGAGAATAACCCCATGACTGCGTTTAATTAATTAAACCAAATTTAAATTAAATGAATGATGGTGTTTGTCTTAGCAATACCTTGTTTGTTGAGTGAACATAATTCTAATTAACATTAAATTAAATCTGCATTAGCTTTTATTGAGGCTGCACTCAATTTGTTGAGTAAGCCACAGCACACTCTTCAAAATTTAGTGTTGGCCCAAAAGATGTCCAACCATGTCAGGTTCACCCCAAGGGACCAGAGCTTAGCCTTTGTTCAGCATAGTGAATGTGAAAATATAGGCTGGTGCACACTACTCGTAAAGCCATATTGGAGCCTAGTTAATTGCATCACAGTTCTGAATTTGGGCAGCATCATCCAAGAGTCTGCTGCACACGTGGTCTCTGTGTTGCCCACCCCATTTTATGGTTAGCCTCTTGTGTGATCCAGACCACTGATCTGTACAACAAATCATAGTTAAGCAAACCATGGCTTAATACAGTGTTGTGTGTAAGAATGTGCTACCTTGGATACCCCTACCTCTTCACTGAATTTTAGTGTTTGACATTAGGGAGGAGGCGTTACATATGACAAGTTGATTTCAGCCCACCGAGAGTGTCCAAGGGAACACAAAGCCGAGGGGTCCTTCTTTGGACAGATAGTTTAGGCCAAAAGAAACGCTCCCGCTGTTTTGTTTTGGCCTTTGTGCGATGCTGTGTTGTCCTTTGGCAAGGCTTAGTTATCTCTGAGGCCCTGGAGGTTCATCCTTAGAACAGGAGATGGTACAGAAAATGGCGGGACAGCTAAGAGGCGAGCAGGCTGGAGCAAGAGAGTGCTGGCACCTGCTGCTTCACGGAGCCTTTTGTGGGGATGTCCTGAGAAGGGGGCTGGTGGCCTCGTTGATGAGGTGAGATCCCACCAGCCTCAGGTTAGCTATTCTGTAAGTGTCTCCCCATTTCAAGGAAACTAGGAGCTCTTAAGCGAAACCCCTTGCCTTGTGAACCCCTGGAGCCCAGACCCGCCTGTGGAGGCTCGATTCCCCTCCTGTAGTGGGCAAATTTTCTGTGTTGGCATGGCTTCTCTGCCACGCCTGCCTTGAAGCAGCCTGGCTGGCTGGGTGGCATCTTTGGGCAGCTGCTCTAAGGAAGTTTCTGCGAAATGGGCTCAGAACGGCTAGAGAGGGGCAGGCCCAGCCGCGTCCTCTGGCCACGGTGGCCGGAGAGGAAAGAAGCTGTGCCAAGGACTCCAAGGCGGCCTCATCCCCTGCTCAGGGCCTGGACCAGAAGGCTGAAGGAATGGGAGGGCAAGATGCATCTGCCCCCCACGTCGCTCCTCTTTGTGCTTTGGATTTGGATTATAAGCATTTGTTTATTAAATGTATGTGCTGCCCTTCTCACTCTGAAACTGGGGGTTCCTCCAGGGAAACCTCAGTGCTTTCCTTTGTTGCTTGGCTTAATGCAGTATACAGTCATTTGTTGTAATTAATAGCCACTCTTTTATTTATAAAATAATTCTTTTCAAAATTCTTAACAAGCTTTTGAAGACTAGAATGGTGTAGCTTATTTTAATAAAACAAACGTTGAGAGGAGACATTGATATTCTAGACAGGACCTCGTAACAGTCAAAAAGTCATCTATAACTAGAGCAGATAAATATAATCTGCAGTTCTGCATTCAAGAAAGCAAAGGAAAAAAATAATTAATTAAAAACACTAGTGAAGCTCTTCTGCTCAATAGGATCCAACAGGGTAATATTGCAAACAGAAGAATGTTAAAATATGAAATCACCTTTGTGGTTTGACATCCTGAAACTCTCTGTTCTGACCGGTTAAAAGGATCTACAAAGGAAGGCCCTGAAGGTGACCAGAACTGGGGCCGAACGGAAAGGGAGGAGCCTGAGAGGAATGGACGATTAAAGGCCATTTTTAAGGAATTGTCCAGAGCGAGGTAGGCAAGATTGGTGACAATGTCTTTTTTTTTTTTTTTGAGTGATTAATGCAAGAAGAGACTGTGTCACTGCCCTTGCCCCAGCCAGCACAGGAACCTCTATTGGAGAAGGTGGTGAGGTGACAATTACGGGGAGCCTGGATCGCTTTCAGTCGGAGGTCAGGCCTGGGCATGAGACTGGCAGTGCATTGGTCACTGTTGGTCAGCTGGATGGGGGGGGGGGATGCTTCTGTATGAGCAACTGTGGTGGTCTAAGTTGCCTGCAGCGGTTGGGGTCCTCCCTTTGGGAGGCAAGAGGTCAAGTCCTGAGCTATTACCATCTCCCCAGTCTGAGTGAAGCCACTGGAGAGGTCATCTGCCAATGTCTGCCAGAGGCTCCCCGGAACAGAGATGGGAAGGGAGTCTTGACAGTTGCTGGATGGGGAGAAACATGAAATGGAATGGAAGGCCTCCCAGTCTCGGGACATCTTTAGATTCCTCCAGAAGGCGACGGCCCTGTGCCGGCTGTGCTAAGACATAGGAAGGCAGACATCCAAGGAGCCTTCAGGAATTGGCCCTTTGCTATGGCTGTGCTATGTTTTTATCAGCAGGTGTTTAAAAAAATATTTAATAATTGCAGTTACCTTACTACTGTTTTATTGTGCTAGTTGTCAGCTGCTGTAGCTGGAGGGGGCAGAGGCAGGGCAGCCTCTGTTGATGGCTGGCCAAGGAGGACATGTTGGGCCACAAACACAGTTGCTGTGAAGGCCTTTAGGGAAGGCAGGAAAGTAAAACTGGCAAGACTTCCAGGTGGGTCTTGGGGCAATCCTGTTTAGATTAGGGCACATAGTTCTGAGCACTTTATAAAGCAGGCAAAAGTACCCCAAAGTTTCCCCCCTGTAAAAATGAGGGGGCGGCAGAGTCCCCCCCCCGCAATACTTGAAGAGCCAATGGGCAAGGCAAGGATCAGAGTCAGTCATGTGAGAAAAACAGCTTTCTCCCCCTCAGACAATGGCCTCTCCCAGGAGGTTGTGGGGCTGGAATGAACCTAGACCTTGATTGGAGCAGCTCCTATCTGTCTGTCATAGAACATGGAATAATAGAATTGGAGGTCTTCTGGTCCACCCCGTGCCCAAAAAGGTGACGGCCCTGTGGCATTCTGGACAAATGCCTGCTGAATCTCTTCTTTAAAAACTCCAGTGATGGAGCAACCACATCTTCTGAAGGCAGGTCGTTCCACTGGCCCTTCTCACCCTCAGGAAACTCCTCCTTATTTCCAGGTTGGATCTCGCTTTAATGATCTTCCACACCTGTCTTGCCCTCAGGTGCTTTGGAGAATAGGTTGACCCCTTCTTCTCTGTGGCAGGCCCTCAAATATTGGGAGACCCGTGTCACCCCTAGTCTTTCTCTTCGTTAGACTAGACATACCAGTTCCCTCAATCATTCATCAAACAATTTAGCCTCTTTGTGGCTTTTCTCTGCCCTTTTTTAGGGTCTCGGCATCTGTTTTCTATTGTGATGACCAGAACTGGACACACTATTCCACGTGTGGCCTTACTAGTGTAATAGAAGTGGGACTATTACGTTACATGATTTTGAAACTTCCTCTCTGTAGTAGATCTGAAGGTCCCCTTCCCCCTAAGTCCAGCCCCCAGTGAATAAATGCTCTTCCACTCCCTCAACTCTCTCCCACTTTGGTTCTCTGCTGGCATGGCCAGCATTGGCACCTGGCCGGCATCGGGGTTCTGATGGGCCCAGACCATAAGTGCTCCTAGGCCCCCTTGATGTGTTTGCTCAGCTTAGACTGCAGATGTCCAGCTGGACTAGGCTGTACACTTGGTAAGTGCCCTGTCTGTGTGTATGGGAAGGGGAGGGCATGCTCTGGGGCGGTGTGTGTGTGTGTATGTGGGGTGATCTTAGTTGGCCAGCACTTTTCTGAGCCAGACTGTGGGGCCTTCAAGTTTGGACCACTCTCTGTCCAGACATGGACCTAAGTGAAGAGCAGGCAGATTTATGGAGGCAGCTTTTAGTAGGACCATGTAACATTTCCCCTTCCCATCCAAATACTGGTTGTTGATGGGGAGGGGGCAGCTATTCCTGGAAAGGCCCCTCAAGAGCATACAGGAGGGCAGCAGGTGCCTCAGGGTAGGGAGAGCCTCTGCCAGCTCAGGGACCACAAAGACAATTTCTTGGTGGGGGGGGGGGTGAAGCTGAAGAGTGGAACCATCTCAAAGCAATCCAGGGTTGTAACCAAAGTGACAAACATTTGGCAGGAGGGGGATTCTGGGGGATTGGGAGGTTTTCCTTCATGGCAGATGACCAAGGCCCCCTCCTCGTTCTGGGTGGGAGATGCTGGGCTGTGGGAGGAGACCACAGAAGGCAATAGGCTCCCCAGTTCTCAGGGGCACCCCTTCCCTTTTCCCTCTCAGGGCCAGGACAACAATGGCTGGGACACAGGAAGGATGATCTATCAGCCTTGGTGGTCTGGATTCAGGATACAAAAGCCAAAGAATGAGGAGGGGGGCCCCTGCTGCGTCTGTCATAGCACAACTTTCCCATGGCTCTTTGGCGGGGGAGGGGGTGGGGGGGGAAAAGAGATGATCCAGGGAGTAGAAGCTTAAGAAAGGAAAACCCTGGCTTTTTTCCCTACTGGAGGAGGCTTCTCTGCCTTTCCAGCCACATCATCCACTCTGCTGTTGACCCTCCAAATATGTCGCAGCAGCAGCAGCAGCAGCAGCAGCAGCAGCACTGGTCGTTGGACAGGCCCTCGCCCCACCCCGAAGGCCCCCATACCTCACGTGCATCTGTCCCTCTCCTGCCCAGTTTTACCTTCTCCTTGGCCTCTGGGCACCCCAGAGACGAGCTGTAGCAGTCCAGCCGCTCCCCAGATGGAGTCACCTGTCCCTGTGCTTCCTCCTCAGCATCTGAGCGGGCTGTGGCCCCAGGGCTCCCACAGGTTCTCCGGGTGCCATGGGGAGGTGCCAGGCTGCCTCGGCGGAAAAGGCTCAGGGTGGCTGAAGGCAGCATCCAGCCTGCAAGCAGAGGAGCATGCTTGGTCCCCTCCCCCAGCCAGAGAAAAGAGAAAGGCTGCAGCTTCAGGCAGGCGGAGTGAAGGCAGCCATGCCAGGCTCTTCAAGGCCCAGGGCCAGCGAGGGTGGTCACTCTCTGGGCAAGCTGGCTCATCCGGTCCTTCACTCTTTGGCCCATCAGGTTCTGGCTGCCTTCTCAGCTTCCTGGGCCCTCTCGGGCTTCCTTCCTTTCAGCCGTCAGAACTCCCGGTGGATTCCATGGGATCTCAGCTGGAGCTCTTGGAGGAGAAGGGGAGCTAGTTCTTCTGGCAGCCTTGAGTTCTGAATCACCGGCCCAGGCCCATTGCAGGACCCCTCAGCCGGGCGTCTGCCTACCTGTCTTTCAGCTCTGGAAGAACCCCGGCTGCTGCAGGTTCCCCGTCTCCCCTCTTCTGCATGCTGCCGGCCCTCTTTCCCTCCGGAGACCCCGTGGCTGCTCTTCCATCCTCCTGCCCTCTTGGACCAGTTGGTCTCAGTCCTTTCTCTGTGCCGGTGGGGCTGAACCTCTCCGGACCCTCCGGACCGTTGCCATCTGGACTCCTGGCACTCCTCCTCCACCCTCCTTCAGGCACCGGAACGTCTGGATGGAGGATCGGGCAGTCACAGCCTTCCCAGAATGGTGTCTTGGGCAGCCCCCCTTCCTCCAGACCCTCTTTGTCTCTGCCAGCCTTTCTGCTGCTGCTGCTGCTTCGGTGCGCAGGAGGGGTGATGTGAGGAGGAGCAGCCTGCCTGCCTGCCTGCCTGCAACCCGTGCTCTCCCGGCTCCCGCCTGCTTTGGCCCCCTCCCCCTTCGCTGCCTCCCCAAGCTGCTCCTGTTTCTGCTGGGGGGGGCCTGAGTAGATGGGCTGCTGCTCTTCTTCCAGGGGACGGCCCTGGCTGCCTTGCTACATCCTCCTCCTTGAGCTCTGATTGGGGGGAGGAAGATGGAGGAGCTGAAAAGCCCCCTCCTTCCCAGCCTTTCTGGGGAAGAGAGACTGATAGAGCAGCCGCTCAAGAAGAAAATTCTCCCCTTATCCAGGAATCTGGGGCACCAGCCAAGGCTGTTATGAAAGGGAATTTGTATTATGAATTACGTTTCCACCCGTCTCATTTTAAGGTGCTCTGGCTGGATGCTATTTCTGATTTGGGAGGTTTTCAAGTATTTATGCACCTTTCCTCTCTCTCCTCCCCATCAGAATTGCAGGAGGAGAGAGAGCGGCCAAGTTATCTTCATTCTGTTGCCCTGGGTGATGGTTGGTAGGAGGCGGGCTTCCCTTAAGGGAAGGCATCCTGGACCAACCCAGGCTCTTTTGGCCCTTGGGCAGGAGAGGGGAGGTGGGGCAGCAGGGGAAGAGGAACACTGGAGCCCCATAATGGTGCTTTCCTGTTTCATGCATGCAGACTAGTAGCTGGGCATGAATCCTCTGAAACAATCAAGTCCTGAGACTGTTCTGCACAGAAGGCTGCTCCCAAAATGAGCATGAAAGGCATCTTTATTAAAAAAAATGTTTACGTTTCTCTCTTGAGCTCATATAAGTGAACTTCAATGGCAAATTCCAGTTTCAGTTTAAAAAGTCCGCATTACAGTTAGGTTGAGATATTTGAGGAAGGTTTCAGAAAGATTTGGTGGGCTAGAAGGGAGCTTGAGTGATGGTGTCACTCAGGTGAACCCTCCTGAGAAGCAGGGTCGAAGCAGCTTGCAAATCCAGGGCCAGCTAATGAACCCAATTCAGCAACCAACCTGCAGACAGGTAACCAGCCAGAGCCTGCGGGCCACCAGATATCCCATGGGCAGATGCTGTGAATGTGAAGTGGGCTCCTGGGTGTTTGGGAGCCAAAAAGCCCCAGAGGAAGTT